TACACACGTATACTCTGACTAAAGGTAGAGCTTGATGGAGTGGGACAGGGTCTGTAAGACAAGAGTGATCTATGTGGTTTGGAATGGAATAGGGGACCTGATTATGGGCAGGAGCTGCCTCTGTGGTGGAGGTGAGTGTGGAGGTGGGGGTGTGTGTTGGGGAAGCATCTGAGGTGCTGATGGGTACCAGCTCTTTGGGTTAAACCGTCTGTAGTCTCTGCTGTGGCTCAACCAGATTGCACTGCCAGATGGGCCAGGGACTCCCTGGATGAAACTGAAAACAATTTGTCAACTATTTGTCAGCAGAACCCAGGGGAAGAAATGGTGTCACTGTTGTGCTGTTGTTGGTGATGCTGTTTATGTTGCTGACAATTTAAAAAGTAATTAATTGTTTTCCTTCCTTAGTCACATAGAAAAAATCACCACATGGCAAGACCCTAGGAAGGCAATGAATCAGCCCCTGAATCACGTGAGCCTCCACCCTGCCGTCAGTTCCACACCGGTGCCTCAGAGGTCCCTGACAGTGTCCCAGCCAAATCTTGGTAAGCTTTGACTCCTGGCTACAGGAAGTGCTTAACCAGTGGGCCGCAGGGCTCAGGGGCAGCTCTGTGTCTTGCCTTCTTTCCCCCATTTAACTCCTTTTCTTGATGGTTTCGCCACAGAATTTGGGACATTACTACCTGAGGTTTCCACTAGCTCTTTGAAAAATCATGGCCTCCTGCCTTCATTCAGACCAAGGACAGGAGGGCATGCATACACTGTGAACTTGGTTCCTGAAGACTGCACATGTGTGTTTGCCATCAGGGAAGGTACTTGGCTATCTCACTTCAGTGACTCCTAAAACACCATGTAAGAGGTATCGGAATCCTCCCTGAATAGATGAGACATTTTTCCAGAGTCACAGAACTCGTGGGTGACAGAGCCAGGACTTGAACCTTTGTTGTTCTGATGTTAGCATACAGTCAATTCTTACAAAATCTGCAGATGGCTTCTCCCTACACTCCAGGGATAATTTTGCTCTCCTGTCTCTACATTTATAATGTTTCAGTATGAATGTTAGAATTAAGAGAATTTTCTGCTGACTACTTTTACTTTAAAAAAACACTAAGGCGAGCCGGGCGTGGTGGTGCACGCTTGTAGTCCCAGATTTGGGAGGCAGAGGCAGGCGGATCTCTGTGAGTTCAAGGCCAGCCTGGTCTACATAGTGAGTTCCAGGACAGCTGGGGCTACAGGGAGATCCTGCTTCAAAAACACAAAACAAAAAATACCCACTAAGGCAGTGCCCACTGCAGATGACAGAACTCAGTGAACACTGTGCATTGGTGTTTTTTCGTAGTCATTCCTTTCCATCCCCCAGAAAGGTAAAAATAAACGAGGGCCAACTAAAAGTTCTATAAAAGATACTGCTGTTTTCCGATGATACTGCTGTTTCTGATTAGATATGCAGATACTGCTTTATTTAATTTTAGAGAGTAAAAAGAATCTCTTCCTGGAGCTTCAGGAATGAACAGGATAAAAATGGTCATGCTTTCCTTGCTTGGTCTGTGCTTAGAAAGTGAGTGTGAATTCAAGTAGACTCGAGTCCTTCCAGGAACCCTGCACCTACTGTTCCAAAGTGTGCAGGCATGTACCATATCCAGGAACAACTCTAACCAGATCCACTCCCAATGAGTCTCTTATCTAAAGGTCAAATAAAGAAAAATGGCGGCAGTCTTGCTAACAGTAGTCAGCCCATGAGTCACCATCCCAAATATGTACATGTGCAGGAAGCAGGTGTCCAAATAAGATGACAGTAGACTAATCTGACCACTTAACTTTCACACTATGTGTGTGTACAAATTCTAGGATATTAAACCCACTTTTCTACACGTTCTTAAAAAAGCCTTCTATATTCATGTATGCAAATAAAGCTGCTTTATTTTTTTTTTGAGAAAAATTGCTTAATAGTCTAGCACATTAATGTGCCATCATTAGTTAATTTAGCTAGCTCCCACCTGGTGGATATTTAGGTTACTCAGGGGCTGCTACTATATACAATGTGCAATCAGTATGCTTGGTCATGCTCTTTTATGTATTCTTCGTTTTTAAAATTGAACAAGCTGGGCAGAGGTGGCTCAATGGGTAAAGATGTATGCCACCAAGCCTAATGACCTGGGTTCAATCCCCAGGACCCACATAATGGAAAGAAAGAATCAACTCCTACAAGTTGTCCTCTGCCGTCATATATGTGCTATGGCATGTGCACATGCGCATATTCACAGAATAAATAGGTACACATTTCTTTGAAAAATAATTGTGCAAGCAAGTGGAATAATTAAATAAAGAATAAAAAAGAACTTGGATGTTTAAAATTTGTATTGAAGGCACATGTCAAACAGACTGTGTATTCACACATGTGCACATGCTAAAAGTTCAGTTATACTAGCAAAGTTTATCCATAGAAATAGTAATTTAAATAGTCTGAATCATATTTGCCTGTAGCTGAATAAAATTCCTTCCTTTTCCAGATTTCTATTTAAACCAGAGCAGTGGGCTTAATTTATTTATTTACTTATTTATAATTTCCCTGTGATACTAGAGATTGAACCCAGAGTTTTATACATGCTAGGCAAGTACTCTACCCTTGAACCAGCTCTCTCTCTCTCTCTCTCTCTCTCTCTGCCTAAAAAAACAGGGTCTCACTAAGTTGCCCAGGCTGTCCTTGAACTTGTTTTCTTCTGATGCCTCCCGAGTAGCTGGGATTACAGGTCTGAGCCACTAGGCCCAGACAGTGAGTTTCTTAAAACACACATTCTAACTTTTCTGTCAACAAAGGTTTGATATTGTAAAGAGTGTTACTAATCTATAAAGAATCAGAGATTTGCCTTGTGGATTGAACTATAACCAGGAATCCCAAGGAAGTTCCAAAGGGCAGCAGAAAATTTAGTGCCACAATATGATCCTGACACGAAATCATCTACTTGGAATCTTTCACTTCGTGTTGTAGCTCTGTCTGTGCCTCCTAGACTTTATAAGTCTTTAAACATAGAAGTGCATATTTTTTCCTTCTTCCTTCTTAAGTTTAGAACTTTGGTGCTTTTCAGTGGGATGTAGCTGACAGGTGAACTTAAGTTCTTTTACTGGGAGGCTGTTTAGGTACTCGTGAAATGGTATCAAAATATAGTTAATCGCATTACTCTCAGATAACAGAAAGAGTCCCTTTTAAAAGCTATTCTTACATATTTACAGAACTTTGATGTAGTCAGAAACAGAGCTAAATACATCAAACAAATCTTTAAATAGGCCCTTATTTTTCTGTATCTGTAGGTTTTAGAGTTAGTCTTACAGAATTTGCATCTTGGCTCTGTCAGTTACCAACCTGTGACCTTTTAAATTACCTGTTTTTTAATTCTCCCATACAGAATAAGGATTATTAATAGTGGGAGGAAAATGTAAGTGTGTGTGTGTGTGTATGTGTGTGTATGTATGTGTGTATGTGTGTGTGTGTGTGTGTGTGTGTGTGTGAAATGTTAGAACTGTACCTGGCATACAATTAAGTAAAATAGGTGTTTATTCTTATTCTGATTACTCTTTGTGCAAAGAAACATTTTATTTATATTTTACTTATAGAGTGTTACAGTACAAGACAGTTTCATTGTTCATCATAAAGTTGTTCATGAGAAACAGTGAGATTGCCAAATGCTTTAAATTAGGAACACTGCGCACTACTTTCTGTGGGGACAGTGCCCTCTGGTGGACTGGATCTGTTCCTCTTCCATCCTCCCCCACCAGGACAATTTTCTTTACAGATTTAAAAAAAAGTTTTAAAGTTAGTGTATGAAGTGATGAATTTTGTAATGGCATTTTCTCACATAAATGTCATTATGCTATATTTCTGCTCGTTCCTTCCCCCTCCCCTCCCCTCTCTCCTCCCCCTGACCCTACTCCTGATGGTCCTCTTTCTACCTCCCTAAAATCCTTCGATGCTTTCATGTCACATGCATCACCTCCTCCCTCCTTTATCTACTTTCATGGTACACACATACAGACACACACACACACACGCACACACATGCATCCCTAGGTTCTACATGTGAGAGAAAACATACAGTATTTGTCTCTAAGTCTGGCTTATTTATTCATTCTTCTGTTTATGGACATCTAGCCTAGTTCCGTTTCTTAGTTATTATGAACAGCACAACAATAAACATGTGCAACTATTTGGTATAGCCCTGAAGTGGTACAGCTGGGTCATATGGTGTTCAACTTTTAGTTTTTTGAGGAAGTTTCACACTGACTTCCATGATGTCTGCGCCAGTTTGTCCTCTCAACAGCAGTGTATAAAGGTTCCTCTTGCTCCACATCCTTACCACATTTGCTGTCATTTGTTTTCTTGACAGTATCCATTCTGACTTGGGTGAGATGAAATATCAAAGCAATTTTAATTTGCATTTCCCTGATAACTAAGGCTATTGAATATTTCAATATATTGGTCATTTGCCATTCTTCCTTAAGATTTGCCGTTAACCCGTTGATTTGTGGGTTTTTTTGCTATTTAATTTTTGCAGTTCTTTATATATCTTAGATATTAACCCCCTGTCTCTTGTGTAGTTGGCAAGATATTTTATTGTTTTGTAAGCTGTCTCTTTACTCTGATGATTGCTTTCCTTTCTTGTGCAGAAGCTTTTTAGTTTCATGGAATTATTTGTCTCTTATTAGCACAGGATTGTTTCCTGTGCTAATGGAGCTCTTTTTAGGAAGTGTTGCCTATGCTATATCTTACCTATGTTTTCTTCTAGCAGTTTCAATGTTTTAGATCTTACATTAAGGTCTCTGATCCATTTTGAATTGATTTTTGTGCAAGGTAAGAGATATGGATCTAGTTGCATTCTTGTACATGTGATATCCAGTTTGGCCAGGACATTTGTTGAAGAGGCTAACTTTTTTTTTCCAATTCATCAAAAATTAGGTGGGTGGGTTAAGAGATGGCTCAGCAGTCCAAGTTTGATTCCCAACTGCCCGTAACTCCAGCTCCAGGGGGTGCTGGTGCTTCTGGCCTCCATGGGCACCTGTACTTATGTGCACATACTCACACACAGACACATACTTTTAAAAACAATAAAGATAAAAGTAAATCAATAACAAGTTAAAGAAATAAGTGGATGTAGCTGTGTGAGTTTATTTTTGGATCTTCTATTCCATTGGTCTACTTGTCTGTTTTTATGCCAGTACCATACAGTTTTTGTTACTATGTTTCCATAATATATTTGAGATCAGTTATTATGACACCTCCAGCATTGCTCCTTCTGTGTAGGTTTCCATCAGCTATCCAGGGTCTTTTTTCTTCCATGCGAATTTTAGGACTGTTTTTGTTTTTCTAGTTCTATGAAGAATGTAATTGGAGTTTTGGTCTTTTTGAGACAGGGTCTCCCTGTAGCCCCAGCTGTCCTGGAACTCACTATGTAGACCAGGCTGGCCTGGAACTCACAGAGATCCCCCTGCCTCTGCCTCCCGAGCAGCACTGAGGTTAAAGGCATGCGCCACCATGCCTGACAGATAATAT